ATACAGTAAGCATTTAATAAATATTTGTTAGTTGTGTGAGTTACAAACAGACTGAAGTCTTACTCCTTCTGCTTATTGAGCCCCAGCAAATGGAACTGGGGCCTTGTACCCTAAAAGGAAATACACAGTGATTTCAGCCAAGAATACAAGTAAAAAGGAGGAATAGCAAAAGGGATCATGGCAGGAAAAAAAATAAGCTTGAATTTGTAGAGTTTTGGGGGGAATTTTGTTTTCAATGGTTTGTTTCTTTTGTACTTAATCTTGATGGGTTCAGCCAGCAGGATGGGTGACAAGAACTGAAAACAGACACATTCCACCATATAAAAGTTACTGCCACTGTGAATCTAACATCCCTCAGAAGGATACAGATGGAGGCGGTCTGGAGGAGAGCTGTGAAACAACGGACTGAGGTAGTAAACAGAGCTGACAATTTAACAAGTTGAGGTTTGAGGAAATGCACAATGTGGAGCCAAGCAATTAACAGACAGGAAGTCTTCATGGTGCCCTTCAATCTCTTTGTCCCCCAAGCCAGAAGGTCCTATATTGGCTCCCAGTAAATGCAAATCACTTTTTTGAAAGTGACTCTACTTCGGTAAAAGATTATTAAAGAGACAGCTCCTAATGAACAAATGTATAGAGACCTGAGTGGTTCCCAGGGGCAGGAGGGAGGAAGGAAGGGGAAATAGGGTTGAGGAAGCAGTGAGTGTTTATGGTGATGGGAAATTTGGCTCTGGTAGCGTGGTGCCTAAGGCATTTGACTGCTAACCCCCATGGCTAGCAGTTCAAACCCACCAGCCACTCCTAAGGAAGGTTGGGCAGTCTACTTCCGCAGTGATACAGCCTCAGAAACCTATGGAGGGGATGCTATGAGTTGGATCCGACTCCACGGCAGTGAGTTTGGTTTGGTTGCACAGTGTACTTAATGTCACTGATACCACTAAACTGAACACCTGAAAAATGTTAAACTGTGGAGTTATAGATATTTGTATAACAATGAAAAAGAGAGAAAAAGATAGCTCCAGTACTTAGAAGTCCCATTTTTAAACCTGGATACCTCAAACCCAGCTCTAAACATTTGAGGAACACTGACTTGAGCTCTTCTACCGTATTTTTTCACAAATAACGCACCACCGTAAGTAACACGCACACATATATAATGGGCAGAAATGATGCAATTGTGTTAACAAGTTCTGGCATAGCAAGCCCATGCATACACCATACCACGCATGTCTTGGGGCATTTCCAAAAGTAAATTTTGGCCTAATTCACCTTCATTACATAGTTTAAAAATGTTACTTTTTATTGTATTTATATAATAAAGGTATAAGCCATGGTCAAGAAGTCATGAATTAAGTTTTGTAGTACCCCAATAATTGGAAAATGAACAATTGAAACTGTTTGCTATGGGGCAGTTCGTGGCCAGGCTTGAGAGTGGAGGAGTCAGCCGTTCTGTTCCCAAGTACATTGCACCAGAAATGGGCAGAGAGTCAGGCAGAGGGCTGTGCAAGAGTCTGCTACAGCCCCAGTAAGGGCTGGTTCCATGACGGGGGGATGGAGGTTGGGGGGAGGTTTCCTGCACACATTTGAGTCCTGTGGCGCCAGCCGCACATGAAGCTGGGCAGCAGGACAGTGCAGGTAGGTGTGAATCAGGCACACACACCATGGGGTGACCGGGCAGCCAGCAGAACCCGTTTTGTCCAAGTGAGGGACGTGTGACATCTCTGTGCCCATGGCTCTCAGCGGCGTCCGCAATGGCTGGGGATTCAAACAGCCCCAGTGTAGCAGTGGCCTGGTGGATGGCAGATGGCACATGGTGGCATGGAACGCATGCAGCTGCAATGCACTGGCCTGGCCTGCCTGAGTGGCCTCTTAGCCTGGGGTGTGTAGACTCGCACACCTGGGCTCACGCTGGTCACCGTGGGAAGGGCTGTTTCCAGGGCAGAAAAAGTGATTTCTTCCTGCCTGGGAGAAAGTGGTCTGCCAGAGCAGGGAAGGAATCCTGCAGGGAGAGGGGCTGCTTTAGAAACTCAAGGGCAGGCTGGGGAGGGTCTGCTGCTAGCAATCAAACTGCCACATCAACAGGCACCAAAACAAAGATTTAACGTTAAATCTAATAAACAGGAAAAAAAAAAAAAAACACCCTGAAATCAGCAACATGTAAGAGATAAAGGTATATCGTGCTTATGAAAATAATGCATGCAGAGTTGCACAGTACATAAAAACAACAAAAACTTGTAATGTGTGTGTTATTTGTGTAAAAATATGGTATTTCGATCTAATGATAAAACTTGAGACTTATGCCTATCATTTCAAACCTTTGAGTGACATCCCCTAGAATCTAGAGTCTAGACATTGTTAAAAGCAAGAAGGAAATACAGAATCCCGCAATTCACTTAGTTATGTTTAAAATTCTGCAGCCAGAAAGGGAAGGCACCAAATCATTCAAGTTCATTTTTATTCTTCACAGGTTCACATCTGACTGCTTTAAACTCATCTTGCACTAGTTCTGAGCCTCATTGCCTCAGTAAGAATGCATTGTCCTCTGGGGTGTAATTTGTGTATTTGTGCAGGCTTTTCCTTTCATCTCTATTATGTTAGCTTATTTCAAACCATTCTTCCTGAGATTCACTTCTTAAAATTCCTCTTTCTAGGTCCAAATCAGAAGTTCACACCCACACCTGGAATTACAGAATCATCCTGAGCTGCTTCTAAGCTGGCCCAGCACCAGCACCCTTAGAGATCAGAGGGTTTCCTGGGTGATCCCCAAGAAAATTAGCAGAAACCAAGGACTGAAGCACTCAGGGTTTATTTTTCCAAGACATGTGCTACCAGCTTTGTGTGGGGCAGGGAGGAACAATTTTACTTCTAAAGCCAGAAATGTTAACAGATTTCTATTGTAGTGGTGCTTGTAAACCACAACAAGCAGCTCTGTTCTGCAGGCTAGAACAGTGCAAATGTGTCTTCTGTGGCAATTATCAGTGAGGATACAGATACTGATGGAGGTGATGAGATTGCAACCTGCACTTGGACCAGGGCTGCAAATGAAGTGCTTTCCTGCATTTGCCAACAGACCATCTGGCGACCTCAGCTTGCATTTGGACCCATGAGGGGTAGAGTTTCCAGCAGACTGTCTCTGAGCCTTCTCCTTGCCTCTCCGTGGCCAGGGTTTTGGTGTCTGGGCAGAAAGTTAAGATTCACTGTGGCTGACTTCCCTGGGTTTCTGCCACTCTCTGCTCAGGTAAAAATTACTTGGAACCTCATCCTAACCCTGACAGTAGGTCTTCAATAACCACTGGGACCAGGCTGTCCGATCAGCCAAAAGTGTTGGCTCTGATCCCATCAGGACAGCTGGCAGGCCTGCCCACTTCTCTTGCCTGAATCTAAACTCTCCTTGCAGTAGGAATTAGATGTCTAGGAGATAAATTCCCCTTCTACCAACACCCAAAAATGCCTACCCTATTTCACTGCTTCTGGGGACCCAAGTTTTACATCTTGATTCCCCCCACACCCCCAATTTTAATGATTTCTTTTTAGGAAAGCAAGATGATATTGGACAACTGTTGTTGTTATTGTTGTTGCTGTTATATGCCGTCGAGTCAGACCCAACTCATAGCAACCCCTCCTTGGGTTTCTGAGGCGATACCACTACAGAAGTAGATTGCCCAACCTTCCTTCCAAGGAGTGGGTTTGAACCTCCAGCCTTCTGGTTAACAGTCAAGTGCCTTAGGCTCTACACTACCAGAGTTCCTGAACAACTGTTAGGTGGGAGAATAATAATCATGTTAAAAGCAAGATGCTCATATCGAGGATACCAGGTGGTTAGACTGAGCTTTGCTGGGCCCTCAGCTTAAAGGGTACGGCTCTGCAGACCCCTCTGGCCTGGGTCTCTTTTCCTTTAGTTTCCAGATTGTGTCTTTGTCCCTCACTCATATCCTGCGTTCTTAGTGATACCCTGCACTTACTTTGAACTTGCAGCATACTGGTATCTCTTTTTAGTTTTGAAATATTGTCCAATAACCTGAACTGGAATTTTTCACATTTGTGGTATTTGTTATGGAGGCCTTATCCATTGTAAATCCAGTTGCCATTGAATCAACCTCATCTCACAGTGACCTCACGTGTGTCAAGGTAAAACTGTGCTCTATAGGGTTTCAAAGGCTGATTTTTCAGAAGCAGATCACCAGGCATTTCTTCTGAGGTCCCTCCCGATGTACCTGAATGTCCAACCTTTCAGTTAGCAGCCAAGTGTGTTAACCACATGTACCACTCAGGGAGAGGGAAGTCTCTGAGCAAATTTAGGCACGAGGAAGCCATTAGCGCCTTGACAAGGGTAGGACTCGCTTGTGCGGACTGGCCAGTACACACGAGAGGCCCAGGAGACCATCTGGAGAAATCTCCAGGTACAAACACCTCCAAAAGAAGGGCAAAGATGGTATCTTCAAACTTACCATTCCTGTTGTTCTTGACAATGGCCTCATGCAGTTTGCTATGGCAGTTATAGGAAGGGTTAAACTATTAGGGAACTGAAAGTTTATTCCTGAGAAAAGCTGAGATTGAGATATTGCACCCAGGGTCCCATGATGCTAATCAACTTTCCTAAGCATCTGTGTGAGCCTAGTGGTTTCTGTTCTCACTGTAGTATCCCTGGACAACCCATGAAGCTACCACTCACCTCAGGCTACATGGGGACTACAGCTACCAAGACCAGGATATACTTTCACACCTGCAAGGCAGCCCACATCTGGCCATTGTCCATGAGCATTAACTGTTCACATGCCACAAGGCATGTCTTCTTCCTGGAGTGCAAAGGTTTCTGAGTTCCACCATCTGGATCACAGTGGTCCTGGGGCAAGCTTGGATATAAAGCTTTACGTGTCCTAAACAGCTGTAGTTAAATCTTTCATTGTCTTAGTGTATATGGAACATGTGAGTGCTGTGAGCATCTTACCAGCAGTAACATTCTACCTCAGCAGCAGGCATGGGGATCCCCTTACCCTTACCGTACACATAGGAGATCCCCACGAGCTCAAAAATTGCAATGATGACGAGGGCATAGGAGGCAGCATATGTGTCCACCAGCTGAAACATGTAAATTCCACCCTAACAGGAAAGAGAAACAACAAGCATTCAAATGGGCTGGTACTAGGCTCTCTCCCCACTGATGACAGCCAATCCTTTCCACCCTGAAGAGAGTCATATGCAGGAGTTAAAGGCTCTCCCTTCTACTTGACTGTAGTAACATCAGCCTGGTCCAGTCTGTAAACTGCAGGCCTTGTCATATGAACAAAGCAGTCCCTGGAAAGACTTTGAGTTGATTGACAGAACACACACAGAAAACTGACCTGGAACATCTTATCCATAAGAGGAAAAGATCAACGCCCTAAGATATATATATGTGAGAACAGATGAAATGATTGCTTCATTTTTTGCTGTAAGCAATATGGCATCCATATGTCTGCATTAATTGACTTTCATATGACCTTTAGTGTCCCTGGGCAGGCCTCACAATCCATTTACATATACACACGTGTGTGTGTATATATATGTGTGTAACCAAAAAAAAAAAAAAAAGAGAGAGAGAGAGAGAGAGACAAAAGACTTCTTTCAAGTGATGAAGAGCAAAGATATCTCCTTGAAGACTAAGGTGCACCTAACCCAAGCCATGGTATTTTCAATCACCTCTTATGCATATGAGAGGTGGACAATGAATAAGGAGGACTGAAGAACAGTTGATGCTTTTGAGTTGTGGTGAAAGAATGCTAAGAGTACCATGACTGCTAAAAGGACTAACAAATCTGTTCTGGAGGAAGTGCAGCCAGAATGCTCCTTGTAAGTGAAAATGGCCAGACTTTGTCTCACCTACTTTGGTCATGTTATAAGAAGGAACCATTCCCTGGAGAAGGATGTCATGCTTGGTAAAGTGGAGGCTCAATGAAAAAGGGGATGGCCCTCAATGAGATGGATTGACACAGCCACTGAGCGATGGGCTCAGGTGTAGCAAGGATCATGAGGCTGGCACAGGACCAGGCAGTGTTTTGTTCTGCGGTGCATAGGGTCGCTATGAGTCAGAGATGACTCGATGGCATCTAACAACAACAATAAAAAATGTATGTATACTTATAAGACACTCAGGACTGCAAGGAAATCAGATTGACTGTAGACCTTTGTATATGAAAAGTAATCACCTAGATTGGTTGATAAATTTGAATACTCATGTATCCCATCTTCTTAAAGTAGGACACCACCTGCCTTGTTGGCTCAGGAAGGCTACATCTCAATTATAAAGATGCTAGCAACATCACTAGCAGCCAAGATGACATATTTCCCTCTGTGGTCATCATCTCTGATGACCTGGTGCCATCTACATGGAAATGACTGTGACTGGCTATGGCTATGAGATCTGAGGGCTATGAGTGAAATGAGAGACAGACATCAGCCCACCCACTCACCCTTACCCCAAGCCTGTGCCCAGAAGGCAGCTTACCTGAGTGATCATTGGAAAGCCCATGATGAAGAAACAAATGCAGCAGCCCAGAGTGAAGACTGGCTTGTGTGTGCGCAGATACTTGGGGAACTCATCCGAGATGGAGGTCACAATGGTCTCGATGGTGGCAAACTGGAATGGTGCCAGGAAAGGGGGTCTGTGACCAGTCGCTCAACCCAGAAGTGTCCAAAAGACCCTGTGCCCTTCCCACCAGGGGAAGTTGTATTTGTATGAGATTTGGCTTTAAAGGCTCCATTTCCTTGATGGGTCTAAAGATCCTTTTTGGGGTGCCATCCCCAGGCCAGCCAGGAGAACAAGCAGGATGCTAGTTTTAGAAACTGCACTTCTCAGGCCCCAGAGTCAGCACTCATAGTTATCTATAAGGACACTTTAAGCTCCATTTGGTATTCACGAGATGTAAATTCCTCTCCTCCAGGTTACCTCTCATTTGATCTACTTGAAGAAAAGCCCTCTTTGCACCCAACTATGAAAATCTGAGGGCCTGACAGCCTGATATATAGTCAACTCAGCCCCACAGCAATTTCCCTAAAATTGATTTCATATTATTCTCCCTTATTCAGCCCCACAGAATTTGCTTTGGCAAATTGATACCAAGGTAGGAAGCAGTCCACAGGTTAAAACTTGGCAAGGAGATAAAAGAAAGAGAAGAGGGTTCCTTTGCACATCACGTGTGTCAACCACAAAGACAAGAACCATAGTCTGCCCTTCAGGGAAGGTGGTGGCTCCTGGGTTATCCTGAGCCCTGGACAAGTACCTCACCACCCCTCTGTCACTCAGAGAAAACCTCAAGGTACCTAATCCCACCCCTCTGCCCCAGGCTTGGCTTAGGACCCAAGAGAGGTGTTCTTCTGAAGGAGCCTAGGGCAGGGATCAGTGAAGAAGGGGGCTTACCATAGTGTCAAGTCCAAGTGTGAGGAGCATCAGGAAGAAGATGATGGCCCAGAATGGAGAGAGGGGCAGCCTGGTTAAGGCTTCTGGATAAACCACAAATGCAATGCCTGGGCCTGGAAGGAATAAGACAGAGATGAGTACACATAGTCCCCCTCAAGGCCCCCTCTTCTGAGAAGCCCTCAGAGCCCTCTTTCCACTGAGTTCCTGAGTTATTATTACTTATTGCATGCTGCCTCTCACTGTTTGCTATTCTTTCACTCAGCTCTGTCCATTTCCTGAACTAGGGGAACTCAGAGGCAAGGATCTAAAACAGTGTTAAAGCAGAGACTCAGGGCCAGCTCTACTGGATGCCAAGGCTAGGTTGTGCACACAACAGGAGAAACCTCATTTTCATACTAGATGCATTGGGAGAGAATATAATTATGCTCTAGAACAGTGGTTCTCAACCAGAGGTGACTGCACCACTCAGGAGACACTGAGCAATGCTGAGAGACATCTTTGATTCTCACAGCTGGCATGTGATCATTATTGACATTAGTGATCAGAGGCCAGGGATACAGCTGATAGCCTGCAATGCCCCAGACAGTCTCCCATGACAAGGAATTATCTGAGGCAAAAGTCAATAGTGCTAAGGTTGAGAAACCCTGCTCTAAGCGGTAAAACAGGGGCAGATGGTATATGTTTTGCTCTGTATATTCCCAATAACAAAATAAGATTTTAATTATTTTAGGGGAAAAAAAGAGGTACAGAATAGCATTATTTCCATTTCCTCTTTTTAACTATTCTTCCTCTTCTTTGGTCTTCCAGGAGAAGCCATTCACATAAAACATGTATCTAAACCAAACAACCAAACCAGTGCCATCAAGTTGACTCCAATCCATGGTGACCCACTGTCAGTTTGTTTCCTTGAGCATGTACAAGAAAATTCACAACTGCTGAGCATCTTTGGTTTCAGTGCTCTTGCAGTGAGGTCCTGGGGCAGGTCAGAACCTCGGACAGAGCTTTAGTATCACAGCCAAAACTGCAGCTCCAACATCTGCCACCAAAGACCACATGCAGTATTCTCGGGAAAACCTAATCCAGAAGCCCTCACTTCAGAGCCCCTTGTCCTCTCATGATAAAGTTAATACTCTGTGTGAGCACAGATGACATGGAAGGCCCATCAGCAGAGTAGAGCAGCTCCAGAGGGCTTTCCATGGCTGATTTTTCAAAAGTAGATCACCAGGCCTTTCTTCTGAGGCACTCTGGGTGGGCTCAGACCTAGAAGCTTTCAGTTAGCACCCAAGCTCATTAACTGTTAACATCACCCAGGTATCTATCTAACACTTTTAAAATCTTGCCCTCTGAAAGGCGACCCAGCGTCACTGGATTCCAGGCTTGGTGAAAATAAGACTATAAATAAATAATGACCACAGGTCATTACCACAGATGGAGTGGCTGTGAAGCATGGTGTAGTGGATAAGAGAATATGGGCTGTAAGGGTCAGACAGATCTGTGCCCAAATCCTGACTCCGTGACTTAACTTACCAGCTGTGCAACCCTAGACAAGTTACTTAATTTCTGTCGGCCTCAATTTTACCCATCTGTAAAATGGTGGGGGGCAGTAATAATAGCACCTCACAAGGGGGTTATGAGGAACAAATGAGAAAACACAGGTGAAGCACTGAGCCCTGAGCCTTCCACATCGTCTGAGCTCACAGAGTATTAGCTTTATCCTGAGTGGACAAGGGGCTCTGGAGTGAGGGCTTCTGGGTTAGGTTTTCCCCAGAATACTGCATGTGGTCTTTGGTGGCAGATGTTGGCGCCACAGTTTTCTCTGTGATACTGAAGCTCTGTCAGTGGTTCTGACCTGCCTTGTGATTGGGAAGATTGCTGTAACCAAAGATAGCCAATGACTCAGCAGTTGCGAATTCCCTTGCAAGTGCTAAAGGAAACAAAATGATAATGGGCAGAGACAAGGGAATGGGGAACTGGGATAAGCCATCGACAGTGCACGTCTGGAAACCAGAACTCGCAGCACCTGGAGTTTTTATAAGTTAAGCATAACTGCACTTTTTAAAACTAGAATTTATCAAGTGCTTAGTTCCTAATGTTGCCAAGGGCCTCGAGGTATTTAAAAAATAAAGCCTGGTATTCTTAAGATCCCATTGCTGTCTGGCTGATTCTAACTCATAGTGATCCTACAGCACAGAGTAGAACTGCTCCCCAGGGCTTCCCAAGCTGTACATCTTTACAGAAATAGGCTGCTCTATCTTTCTCCCATGGAGCGGCTGATGGGTTAGAATCACCAAGCTTTTGGTTAGCAGCCAGACTCTTTAACCACTGTGCCACCAGAGCTCCTTATGCCTAAGATACCAGAGTTTTATGGATTTATTGAACAGACCATGGTGCCAGTCGCAGAAGGTTCCCTATGTGAACCATAAAAGAAAAGTCTTTCTATACAATATATTTTATAAAAGTCTAGTATTAAACTAGAGTTTAAAATTGGTCTCAAATGCAGACAACAAGGAAACCAGTTCAGGGCACTGGCGACAGGCCCATAAAGCTGACAAAAAGGTCCTGAAATGGCCACTACCAAGGCCCTCTGCTGCCTGCTTTAATAGGATTCTACCCTTTGGGCTTTACTGCTTTTTTTAATAGTGGGAATGATTTTGAAATATTAGGCCTGGTTCAATTTCAGCTGCCTCTCTGAAGTACCCAGGTGAAGGTATAACTTTCAAGCTGCATACTAGCAAACCCCATTTATCCAAGGCAGCTGGGGAATGTAGTCTTCTAATGATTAATATTGTTGAATTCTTAAAATACATTTTTACACGGTTTTGCAGAGTTCAGATCTTCCCTCCTCCCACGGGAAGATGGTATGCCTATGCCAGAGCAAGGTTTGCCCTGTTATTGTTGTTGTTGTTGTTATGTGCCGTCGAGTTGGCCCCGACTCATAGCGACCCCTCCTTGGGTTTCCAAGATGGTATCACTATGGAAGTAGATTGCCCAACCTTCCTTCTGAGGAGTGGCTGATGGGTTTGAACCGCTAGCCTTCTGGTTAGCAGTCAAGTATCTTAGGCACTACACTACCAGAGCTCCTAAGTTTGCCCTAGATGAGTGAAAAGGCCTGTGAGATAGAGGCCAGGTGCTCTCTTTCCTCTGCCACTAGGAGGCAAAACAACTAATGGCTTGGGTGCAGGCTCAGAAATCATGGATTGGAATACAGGCTCTGACTCTTACTAGCTGAGAGACCTTACTCAAGTCACTTTGGACCTTACACATAAAATGGAGATAATAATAGTTTCTACTCTGGTAAGAGTTTCTGCTGTGCAAATTAAATGCATTGATGCTAGCAAAGGGCTTAGAACAAGAGAGTCAGCCACAAAGGCTCAACAAGGAGCCATGATCAATGAAATATAACAAGGCCCACAGCACACACTGAGCAGCCACTGTGCTGTGATAGCTATTACAAATGAAATTCTGGGTGTCTGAGGATACACCAGTGAACTCCTCTGCCTTCAGGCAGAGGAGTTGGGATCTAGGTGACAGACAGACAATTGGACTAAGGTGGGTGTAGGGGTGGTCAACCACTGTTTGTGTTACTTTTAATTAGTAGGGGCTCTGAACTTCTGGGGGTAAGAGAATCAGGCAGTATTCTATTACTCCATGTGTGGGCAAATTAATGAGAGTCCCCACTGCTACCTGGGAACTCCCAACAGAACATACTTGTTTGTGTTCATCCACCCTTGGCATAACCTAGTCTGTCTGCTCTTGGATAGGCATCTTTGCAGGGTTGCAGGCTGGAGTCTGAACATGGCATTGCCCCACAGGCAGAAGTGTGCATGGCCAGGAGATGCCCTCCACGGCCACCTTCTCTGCAAGCTGTTCTTCCAGAGCATATTCCTGAGAAAACAACACTCTCCTCAACACCTATCATAAAAGCAGAGGACAGCTGAGTCTCTTCACCAATCTCACCCTCAAACCCCAAAATTCTGATGACAGATTTGAGGTGATAATTTTGACAGAAATGCCTCCTTTAAAAAGGAACAACAAACTAAATAGAAGAGTGTTAAGTCATTAAAGCTGTTTTTGACTAAAGACCAATACATGGTTACTAAACGTTGGGTCAGCAAAAATGAACTGAATGTCTATACACCAACATTGCCCAGCGAGGAAGGGGCAGGGCTGGGATTTTGATGAGAGTCTGACTCCAAATCTCTGTCCTGTATTCTGCAGAGCCTCTATGATGAGATAAGCCTATAAACCACCTGTAAGAGTGTGTGAAATTTCAGATGAGGAGGGATTGCTTCCCAAAGGGGTCTGAGAGAAAGCCTCATTGTCCCTGTGCTGGAGACAATTAGAAACTACCAACTATTAACACAACAGGTTAGAGCCTGCTAGAAGTGCTCTCTCTCCTTGTTGAAATCAGAGGAAGTAAAAAATATATATACTGGAAAGGAGACATTAGATAAAAACACAGACTTTTTTTTTTTCACATACAGGAAAAAAAATCCTATGTGAGTTTTAGTGGCATGTCCTCCTAAATCATTTTCCCGGGACAGGAAAGAACCCACATGTTCCTGGCAGCTTAGCCAGTGTTGAAAATGAGCTCAGTGATGTCATGAAAATAGCAAAATGCCTCAGATCTGCTAGAAAGTAGAGCAAAACCTACCTGTTCCAGCTACTGTTCTGGGAGGAAATGAGGTTACAGGACAGCTGAGGGTGGTGCAGGTGCCCCTGAAGACAAAGCCTGCCAGGGAGCCCTTCGTGCCACTTTCCCATCCTCCCTCCATCCCTAAGAAGTTTGAGAATTCTCAACAGGAGGTAGAGGCATTCACTCAGCTCCTGGGGCCCCTCTAATTTAGTGCACTGCTGCAGAACCAACCTCCCTCAGGGTTTAACAGGCTCTCCAGGGAGGGATAATTATCCCCCTGGAGCAAGCTGCCTCCTTAACTCTTTGAGGCCCCCAGTGCAGTATCAGCGCACTGAGCCAGTAATTAATTATCCTTGGGGAGCCAGAAGAGATCAGGCAGCCCACCAAAGAGGTGGAACTTCTAGGAGTGAGTTCTCTCCCACTCTAGGATCTGAGCCATTATCTGAAAACTGTGGTGACTCTTTAAAGAATAAATGCACCAAGAGCCCTCTCCCAGGTATACCAGGAATACACTCTGGCTTATCTAGGGCTTCACATTCATGTCCCCACAGCATCTGGCACAGCATGGACATGTGAAAGCACCTCATAAATGTCTGATTACATACTAAGAGGTGATTTGTAAAAAATCACTTAAGTTGCCCTTGAATCAATTCCAACTCATAGAGACCCCATGTGTGCAGAATAGAACACTCCACAGGGTTTTCAAGGCTACCACCCTTCAGAACCAGATCACCAGGCCTTTCTTCTGATGACCTGCTGGCTACCTTCAAACCGTCAACTTTTTGGTTAATAGTTGGGTGCTTAACCATTTACATCACCCAAACCAAAAAAAAGCCAAACTCACTGCCATCAAGTCAATTCCAACTCATAGCGACCCCCTCTGGGTTTCCGAAGCAGTAAATCTTTTTAGAAGTAGATTGTTTATGTCACCCAGGGACTCTTAATTAAGTGTTCTGATCACCAAAATGTACTGAACACCCAAATACAACAAAAAGTTAAATACAACTATAAAACACTCTCTGCAAAATGCTCTGGTGGCATAGTACCTAAGGCATTTGACTGCTAACCAGAAGGCTGGCGGTTCAAGCCCATCAGCCACTCCTTGGAAGAAGATTTGGCAATCTACTTCTGTAGATATACAGCCTCAGAAATCCAAGGAGCGTTCTCTATGAGTCAGATCCCACTCGACAGCAGTGAGTTTGTGTTTTTTTTTTTTTTTTTTTTGCTTTCTGCAAAATGCTGTGCTAAAAGTATGGATTAAAAGAGAAAAATGAAAGCTCTCCGTAAACTCAAAAGTACCATTCAAGTGTTAGCCATAATATAGGCATCACTCTGGGTGGAGAGTAAGTATTTCTTCAACATCCCTCCCACCACCGCTCTTCAACCTTTCTACCCCCTGGGGAAAAATCAAGGTCTGCTTTGCTAAGTAAGCAGAAGGCCCGAGAACATATTTGACCTGACAATCAGGAAAGTGCTTTGTAAGGAAAAGGTAACTCTGAAGTCAGTACTCTGATTAAGCCTTAGTGCTCAGTTTCTCCAGGGCCCTCTACAGGGGGTACAAAATGTACTAAACACCCAAATACAATGAAGAGTTAAATACAAGCATCAAGCAGGGTTGCCTATATCAACTCAGGGCACGGGTTTGCCTAATGAGCCCCTCCCCCTGTACCTAACAGGTATAGACCATATTTACTCAGGCTAGAGCTATGGTAGCATAGTGGCTAAGACACTTGCCTGCTAACCAGACAGCTGGCGGTTCAAACCCACCAGTCACTCCTCGGAAGGAAAGTTGGGCAATCCTACTTCCGTAGTGATACTGCCTCGGAAACCCAAGGAGGGGTCACTATGAATTGGGTTTGACTCGATGGCACATAACAACAACAACAACAACAAGAGCTAAATTGAGGGAGCTCTGGTGGCCTAGGGCCTAAGGCATTTGACTGCTAACCCGAAGGCTGGTGGTCTAACCCACCAGACACTCCCTAAAAGGAAGATTGGGCAATTCTACTTCTGTAGAGATACCATCTTGGAAACCCAAGAAGGGGGTGCTATGAGTCAGAATCAGTGAGTTTGGTTTCTATCCACTTTGTAGCATGTATCAGAACTTCATTTTTCTTTATGGTAATATTCTATTATATGGAATACTACATTTTGTTTATCCATTCATCTGTTGATGGACACTTGGGTTGTTTCTATATTTTTGCTATTGTAAATAATGCTGCAATGAATACTGGTGTAAATGTATCTGTCTATATTCTGTTCTCAATTCTTTGAGGTATATACCTATGAGTGGAATTGCTGAGTCATATGATAACATTAGGCAGTATTTTCTTTTGTTGTACAAAAGGTTTCTATGAGCCAACAGATTCTGACAACAACAACAACAACATGGTAATTATGTGTTAAATTTTTGACATTCTGCTCCTCAGAAGGAATATTGGGCAATCTACTTCCATAGCAATACCACCTTGGGAGCTCAAGGAGGGGTCACTATGAGTTGGGACCGACTCGACAGCAGTGAGCAGCAGCAGCAGGAGGAGGAGGAGTAGTAGTAGTAGTAGTAGTAGTAGTAGTAGTAGAGCTAAATTAAAAGGAGCCCTGGTGGCACAGTGGTGGTTCTTGGCTGATAACTGAAAAGTCGAATGCGCAACCCCAGCAGATGATGTGGCAATCTGCTTCAGTTAAGATTTACAGCCTCAGAAACCCTATGGGGCAGTTGTACTCTGTTCTACAAGGTCGCTGGGAGTTGGGATCGACTCAAGGGCAATGGGTTGGAAGCCGAATTAAGAATAGGAAGGGAAGACAGGGCAGAGGGAAGTAGGAAAGGGGCTTTTAAAGCAATTCCCTCAAGTCAAGGACCAGCCAGCTCTAGCCTGGCAGTGAACTTCCTACTTGAGCCCGTCCTGTTCCCTCTGAAAAGGGGGATTTGGCTTCCCTGGCCTCCACACTGTTCCAGAAGGCCAGTGTCCCAGTGCAGCATGAATCAGAAGTTCATGAGGTTAGTCTGGAACCTGCCCTGCACACAACAGCAGGGTGACAACTGTACATACCTTGGTCTGCCACATTTTCAATGTTGACTTTGCGTTCATTGGCCATGAAGCCAATAACAGAGAAGATGACGAAGCCGGCAAAGATACTTGTGGCACTGTTGGTGCAGGTTACAATTAGGGTGTCCCTGGAGGGAAGGGACCAGAGTTTACCATTAGGTTTGCTTTGTAAGTGAGAAAGGACAAAGGGAAGAACAGACATGCCCATGTGTATTAGTGTGTGTGTGTGTGCATGCGCACACACGTATACAAGCATGCACTGTATGAATGTCCATGGGGGACAGATAGCGATTTACAAACAGGCATCCACTGTGGGTTAGGCCTAATTTTCTCTTACTCACAAGGAAAGAAACAACCAGTCCTGAACACTGACTCCCTTGGGCTGATTCATAAAACACGAAAAGATTAAAAAGATTTGCCTTGCTGCCCTATTCCAGAGCCTCTGAGCAAAGCTCTGGCTCCACAAGCTGTAGAATTTGGTGCCTTCATTCCAGTGGCAGGGAAAAGTCTGCTCAGCAGAGCTGGGGCTGATATGGCTTTGGGTAAAGGGAGAGTCCATGTATGAAGGAAGGGAAGGTGGTAGGACCCTGAAAAGCTTCCAGGATATGAGGGGCTGGGGCAGACAGAGCCAAGAAAGGCAAAGGGAGAGGAAGGAGAGAAAAGACAGATGTCGTTGCCTTCATCCCAGAGCTCTCTGCTGGTAATATGCCCACATCTCCCCCAGCCTGCCCTGCCCGGTCATCCCCTGACTCAAAGGAGAGGTCACAGCTAGATGGAGCCTCCAGGCTACATTCCAATCCTCTGCCTCCTGCCTGTTAGCAAGTTGCTTCCTTTTCAGTCTAGGTAAAATGGCAGCAATGACCTCCCTCCCTCATGGGCTGTTGTGAGGACAGAATGGGATGATGCCTACAGAGCACAGAGCCTAACACAGAGTAAGTGCTCAGTAAACTATCTACCTTGTCCAACATTTTAGTTGACCAAGGAGGAAACTGAAGCCCAGAAAGGGGAAGATAAAGGTCTAATTAATGGTAGGTCAGGATTTGAATCTAGACATATCCTGCCTATCAGTCCTGGGTTTTTTCGCCGTGTTAATAGCCTTCTTTGTTGTAGAGCACAGAGCAGTGCTTCACTTCTTGATGGTGTTTCAGACCCATTCTTGGGTCATCAGTGAGTGAGTCTTAGTTTGGCATTCAAGGCTCTCTCAATCTGGTCCCAACCACTACTCATGCCCCATTTTCTTCTAGTCCTAAGTGCATACTCCTGTCCCAATCTCACCTACCTGCTCCCTTCACCCACCCCTATCACACAACACTCTTAGGCTGTTCCTGTCACCCAGAATACATTCCCTCCTCTTTTGCACCTGCTAGAATTTGGCCCACTATGAACCTCACCTTTGTGAGACCATCCCAGTATCCCAGCCCATCACTTAACTGCAATCTTTTCTTCTAGCTTCAAAGATATTTGAGGAAAGTATGACCCTCAATCAAAGTTCTTCCAACATCGAGTGAATGAATATATTCACCTGAGACAAAGGTCTTGCAGTGGCTTCTATGGACTGATCCTTGACTCAAGTACATCCCCGAGCATGCCATAAATTAGACATAAGGACTGTTTAGTGCATGACCTGAGCAGCTTCCCTAAAGAATGGGAGCTAGGCTCCGTCCCTCCAGGTACCAAATGAGCAGAAGGTATATAAGGGACACACTGTACTGATGTGACCAGCACTTGCAGCAGCTCTCTTCAGTATCCTTTACTCCCAAATAGGCCCTGTGACGTGTGTGGGACACGGAAGCTGAGTCTGGGTCCCTGAGGCCTCCACAATGTTGCCCCTGTGTGTGCAGCTGTCCTCCCTGTTCCAGGTATATCCTTTCTTAAAACTGAGCAAACTTGGGTCCGATAAGCCTACTGTACCTTGTGACATTGAAAGACCATCTAAACCTGAAACCCACACTAGTCATGTTGCACCTCTTCAGCTAGATTGCAAGCTATTTGAGGACGACAAGTTTATGCTTTGAATCTCTGTCTCTTTGGGTTCACAAAACATCTCAAATGATAAAAACAAAACAAAAAAACAGTAATAACAATGATAGCTGTCATTTACTGAGCACCTACCAAAGTATGGATTGCAGCTGCCCTAAAGAATGGATGCTACTATGTGCCAAGGATTGCACTGAGAACTTTGTATAGATCGTCTTACCCCAACAAAATATTCTAATCTGCACTTTATAGAAGATGAAATGGAGGCTCAGAGAAGTGGAGTATATACTCCTTCCTCCTGTGTCCCGCAGTTTTAGTAAATGGTGAAGTCATACTTCGAATGGAAGTCTGTCTGAGTTCAGAGTGCTCTTTCCTCTGCCATGCTGCCTTTGTCCAGTGACAAGTCACCATACTTTATTAGTGACTTCATATAACGGTGTCCACAAACTATGTGGCTCACAAATGATCATCACAGAACACAGCTGGCTGCACAATGGCCTGCAGAGAGGCTCAATTCCATTTTAGAAACAGTCACTGAGCCCTATCCTGGGGGTCCAGGCCCCGCAGAAGCCAGCTGCCAGGACTTCGAGGTGGTTTCTTCTTTTCCAGAGGTAAATCTCTGGCTTTCGCTCAGGAGAGGTGTGAGATGTGATTTCTCAGTCCACTGTTGTGTCCCCAGACCCTATTTATTTCCTCTCACTAGCTGCCTCTTGAACTTGGAAGTCCCTCCACATACCTGTAGCAGTTGTTGTGGAATTTGTTATAAGAAGACAGAGTGATCAGGCCTCCCCATGCAGCAGATAAAGAGAAGAAAATCTGAGTGGCAGCATCTTTCCACACCTGGGAAGCACAAGGGGAGAAGAATCAAAGTGACTAAGAAACATGGCTTTAGGGGAGGGGAGTTTCATATACCCAATGCTACATCACCTCCCTAAGAGAAAGGTCGTCAGGGACCAGATGATTCTGGCCACCAACATAAATGAAAAGGCTGCATCATTTGCACTAGAACCAAAAAAGCAGTAAATTACTGAACTATTTACCGTTGGACTACATTTGTGCATAAAAGCTAAATCAACTTTTACCTTGTTTAAGCTGTTGTTATCAGAGGTTTTCTGTTCTATTCAGTAAAACTCAATCCCAGCTACATGTTTTTGTTACATGTTACATCCTAGCAACAGTTTGGGAGCTCTGGTAGCATAGTGGTTAAGGTACTTGACTACTAATCAGAAGGCTGGCGGTTCAAACCCATTAGCCACTCCTCAGAAGGACGATAGGGCAATCTACTTCCCTAGTGATACTGCCTCAGAAACCCAAGGAGGGGTCACTATGAGTCGGGTCTGAATCAATGGCACATAACAACAACAACAGCAACAGTTTGGAAAGGCAGATTTTCCTATAAAGTGAGAAAACTCTCTTTTCCTCTAAACAATTATCTCCTCATATGAAGTTCTCTCTCTTTTTTTTTTAATACTTAAAATTTTATTTTTAAAAATACAATCTTGTTGTTGTTGTTAGGTTCCATTGAGTTGGTTCCAACTCACAGTGACCCTGTGTAAGACAGAATAAAACATTGCTCGGTCCTGCACCATCTTCACACAATCTTTGCTATGATTGAGCCCCTTGTTGCAACCACTATGTCAACACATCTCATGGAAGGCCTCCTCTTCTTCATTGACCCTCTATTTTACCAAGCACCATGACCTTCTCTAGGGATTCACCCCTCCTGATAACACATTCAAAGTACAAAAGTCGAAGCCTCACCATCCTCGCTTCTAAGGAACATTCTCGCTTTTCTTCTCCCAAACATTCATTCATTCTTCTAATAAACCCAAAAACCAATCCCACTGCCATCGAATCAATTTCAACTATAGTGACCCCCATTGGGTTTCCAAGGCAGTAAATCTTTACAGAAGTAGATTGCCTAATCTTCCTTCCATGGGGTGCCTGGTGGGTTTGAACCACCAACCTTCTGATTAGCAGTTAAATGCCTTAGGCACTGAGCTACCAGAGCTCCTTCATTCTTCTAATAGTCCATGTTGTATACTCAATATTCTTCACCAACACCATAATTCAAAGGCATCAATTCTTCTTCAGCCTTCCTTATTCATTGTCTAGCTTTTGCATGCCTATGAGGTGATTGAAAATACCATGGCTTGGAACAGGTGCATCTTAGTCCTCAAAGTGACATCTTTGTTTTTGAACACTTTAAAGAGGTCTTTTGCAGTAGATTTGCCAGATGCAATATGTTGTTTGATTTCTTGACTGCTGCCTCCATAGATAATGAGTGTGAATCCAAGTAAAATGAAATACTTGACAAATTCAATCTTTTTTCCATTTATCATGATGTTGCTTATTGGTCCAGTGAGGATTTTTGTTTCCTTTATGTTGACATATACTCCATATCGAAAGCTTAAGTCTTTGATCTGCATCAGTAAGTGCCTCAAGTCCTGTTCACTTTCAGCAAGAAAACTGTGTCATTTGCATAATGCAGGTTATTCATGAGTCTTCCTTCAATCCTGATGCTGGGTTCTTTTTCATATAGTCCAGCTTCTAGGATTCTTTGTTCAGCATACAGACTGAATTAAGTATGGTGAAAGGATACAACCCTAACGCACACTTTTCCTCATTTTAAACGATGCAGTATCCCCTTGTTCTGTTCAAATGACTGCTGCTTAGTCTATGTATAGGTTCCACATAAGCACAATTAAGTGTTCTGAAATTCACTTTCTTCACGATGCTATCCAAAATTTGTTATGATCTCCACAGTTAAATGCCTTTGCATAACAAAACACAGGAAAACATCTTTCTGGCATTCTATGCTTTTAGCCAAGATCCATCTGACATCAGCAATGACGTCCCTTGTTCCATGTCATCTTCTGAATCCTGGTTGATTTTCTGCCAGTTCCCTGTCATTGTAAAGCTGCAACTGTTTTTGAATTATCTTCAGCAAAATTTTACTTGTGTGTGATATTAATGATATTGTTCAATAGTTTTCTCATTCTATTGGATCATCTTTATGGAATGGGTGTAAATATGGATCTCTTCCAGTTGACTGGCCAGGTAGCTGTCCTCCAAATTTCTTGGCATAGATGACAGAATGCTTCCATGATTGCATCCATTTGTCAAAACATCTCAATTGGTATTCCATCAATTCCTGGAGACTTGTTTTTTGCCAGTGTTCAGTGCAGCTTGGATTTCTTCCTTCAGTACCATCCATTGGTTTTTTTTTTTATCATATGCTACCTCCTGAAAGAGCTGGACATTGACCAGTTCTTTTCAGTACAGTGACTCTATGTATTCCTTCCATTTTCTTTTGATGCTTTCAGTATCACTCAATATTTTGCCCTTAGAATCCTTCAACATTGCAACTCAAGGCTTGAATTTTTTCTTTATTTCTTTCAGCTTGCAAAATGCTGAACATGTTCTTCCCTTTTGGCTTTCTAACTCCTGATCTGTGCATTATTCCATCATTATATTTTACTTTGTCTTCCCAAACTGTCTTTTGAAAATTCTGGTTCAGCTCTTTTACTTCATCATTTCTTCCTGTCACTTTAGCTACTCTACATTCAAGAGCAAGTTTCAGAGTCTCTTAGCTTTCCTCCCTGTCTTTTTCATGGCCTTCTGCTTTCTTCATTGTATGATGTCCTTCATGTCATCCCATAACTCATCTGGTCTTCAGTCATTAGTGTTCAATGCATCAAATCTACTCTTGAGATAGTCTCTAAATTCAGGTAGGATAAACTCAAGGTAGTACTTTTGCTCTCATGGATTTGTTTTAATTTTCCTCAGCTTCAATTTGAACTTGCATATGAGCAATGGATGGTCTGTTCCACAGTCAGCCCCCTGATCTTGCTCTGAACTAATGACACTGAGCTTCTCCATCATCTCTTTCCACAAATGTAATCAATTTGATTCCTTTGTATTTCATCCTGTGAGCTCCATGTGTATAGTCACCATTTATGTTGTTGAAAAATATATTTGCAATAAATAAATCATTGGTCTTGCAAAATTCTATCATGTGATCTCCAGCGTTGTTTTTATCAAAAGGTCATATTTTCCAATTACAAGTTCTTCTTGTTTCCAATTTTTGCATTCCAATCATCAGCAGTTACCAATGCATCTTCATTACGTGTTTGATCAATTTGAGACTGCAAAAGTTGGTGAAAACAAACAGGGGAAAGGGGAAACAAACCTTCATCTTTTAGCTATCCTCCTCTTTTATGGTTTAAATCGTGTCCCCAAAAAAGTATGTGCTGTAAATCTTTGCCTCTACGCCTGTGGTTATAATTCCATAGGGGGGGAGAAAAGGACAAATTAAAAAATAAATAAAAGACAGTACAGCTCAAAATTGAATTAGAGACTTAGGGATTAAAAAAAAAGAAGTTGGTAAAAATCTTCTATTTCTTCATCTTTAGCATTAGCGGTTGGTGTGTAAATTTGAATAATACTCATATTAACTCATCTTCCTTGTAGGTTTATGGATACTATCCTTTCACTAAAAGCATTGTATTGCACTTCAGGGTAGATCTTGAAATGTTCTTTTTGACAATGAATGTGATGCCCTTCCTCCTCCATTTATCATTCCCTGCATAGTACACCAAATGATTGTCTGATTCAAAATGGCCAATACCAGTTTCTCAGCAGCTCACTAATGCCTAGGATATTGATATTTATGCATGCCATTTCATTTTGATGACTTCCAGGTCCCCTAGATTCATATTTCAAACATTCTATGTTCTGATTATTAATGGGTATTTGCAGCTGTTTCTTCTCAGTTTGAAATTTTTTAAAAAAATAATTCCAAGATATTACATTAGAAAATATTTCAAACATACAGAGAATCCCTAAATATATTATTTGTTTCCACCACCAAAAATGACCAGATTTTAATATTTTGCCAAACACACTATATATTTTACCTTTCCTCTTTTTTTTTTTTTTTTTTTTGGTGTGTGTGCTGAGAAATTTCAAATGAGATGTGCCAATACAGAATGTACAAAGAGAAAGTTCAAGTGTGTGCTGGTCCTGCGTCACCTGTCAGAAATCCTCAAATGTGTCTGAGCCCTTCAAAAAGTCTTGCTTGTAGTTTGCCTAAGTGCTGTTATTTTCCAACCAGGTAACCTCTACTTCCAACACACTGTAATAAGTAATAGATAAACAGTGTGAGGTGGCCCAAAGCTATTAAGGGAATTTCATTCTTCATTTCAGCCTCCAGGGCAACCCCGGATGTAGGACAACTATTCCAGGAACCTGAAAATCCCCAGCTGCCCACTTCTCATTAAAAATTTCCTGAGTGCATCACATACCAAGATTACCAGGACACTGTGCAGGCAGTCCCCAGGTTATGATCAAGATCCATGCCTAAGTAAGTCTTTAAGTCAAGTTTGTAAGTAAGTCAGAACAGGGGCATACAGATCTTATCTTGCCTTACTTCAGCATAAGAAGAGCTCTATTGGTGCAATGGTTAATGCCTCAGCTGCTAACCCAAAGGTCTGCAACTCACCCACCAGCCACTCCATAGAGAAAGATGAGGCAGTCTGCTTCCATAAAGATTTACAGCCTTGGGAACCCTAAGGGGCAGTGTGACTCTATCCTATAGGGTTGCTGTGAGTCAGAATTGACTCCACAGCAATGAGTTTTGTTTCTTGGTTTAGTGCAACAAAAGGCTCAAAGGTTTGTCAATGATTTAAAAACTGCAGTTGCTGCAAGTGAAGGTGGTTGTGATGAAGAATCTGTTGCAAGTAGGGGCTGGTTCAATTGTTTTAAAGTGAGGGCAAATTCACATAATATTAAAGGGCAACTACAAGTTGTCTGTAAGTCAGATGTTTGTAACACTGGGACTTACTGTAAAAGCAAACAATAACCGTCCACTCCCATGAGATCCCTGTGGAAGGAAGCCTGACCCCTCCTGTCAAACAGTGTCCCAGAGTGTGACCCACCCCCGTGAGGGCCCACACCCCATCAGGACTATCAGTGCAATGGCAAGCCCACCGTGGCATCCGTGAGCTTCTCCCACTTGGGTGTGATGAAGTACCAGATCCCAGCTCCAGCTCCAGGCAGGGTGACTCCTCGGATGAGCAGGATCACAAGCACAATGTAGGGGAATGTAGCCGTGAAGTACACCACCTAGGAAAACCATCACACAGACAGACTGCAATAAGGCAAACCTACAGTGTGTCCATGTGAAAGTAACATCAGCCAGAGCAAGAGTGTAATCTGCAACCTGGGCACTAGCTCCTGGCTGTGAGGATATCAGGGTTGTTTTTCCCAAATCCCACCAGGGCTGTGGACACAGAGAGGGCACTAGAACCAAAGGTGAGTCAGAGGGAACCAGAAATAAGGCCCCTGGGGGGATGAAAGGTTGGGGGATGTGTCAGCCTGCAATGCAGAGAACTGATGGGAGATGTCACCCTGCCCAGCCAATGGAAGGACAATTCTCTGAGGAACCACTGAGGAAGGCAGACCAACCCCCACCCTCACTCTCTGGTTGAGGCCTCCAATTCCACCAATAGAAATTAATGCTTTTAGCTTAAACCTTCCATCCTATTTATACAGACTTCATAAGTGAGGCAACCTGGGGAGGTGAAAAGGCCGTGATCCCAGAATCAGATACATTTAGGTTCAAATGAAATCACACCTTTGGCTCTTAGCAGCTATGTGACCTTGGGCAAGCCACTTAAGCACCATTAGTCTCAGTTTCTGCATCTGTAAACTGGGGATATTAGCACCTTTCTTATAAACAATCATGAGGATTAAATGAGTTAATGCAGCTATGTTGTTGTTGTTGTTATTTGCCATCCAGTCGCCCCGACTCATAGCGACCCCTCGTTGGGTTTCCAAAGGAGCTCTGGTAGCATAGTGGCTAAGGCACTTGACTGCTAACCAGAAGGATGGCGGTTCAAACCCACCAGCCACTCCTTGGAAGGAAGGTTGGGCATTCCTACTTCCGTAGTGATACTGCCTCGGAAACCCAAGGAGGGGTCGCCATGAGTCAGGGCCGACTCGATGGCAAACAACAACAACATCACTACAGAAGTAGGATTGCCCAACCTTCCTTCCGAGGAGTGGCTGGTGGGTTTGAACCGCCAGCCTTCTGGTTAGCAGTCAAGCGCCTTAGGCACTATGCTACCAGAGCTCCTAATGCAGCTATAGCACTTAGAAAAGGGCCTGATTCATTATAGATGGTCAACAAATGCAGTTCAGTTCAACAAGCACTTACTAAGGGCCTACAATGAGCTGAGTGCTGTGCTGGGTCCTAGATGCATAAAAATGAAGGGACTCATGACCTACAAGTCACAGAGGCAGGCCTGGATAATAGGCTAAGTGCTACAGTAAAATTATACATAGGACACTAAAGAAGTGCAGGAAGGGACAGTGTGTCTAACCTGGGAGTTTATGAAAAGATTCATAGAGATGACATCTGAGCTGGATTTCAGAGACCGAGTGTAATCTGAATGAAGTCAGGCAAGGAAGAGTGGGGGGCAGGCAGGTGTGTGAGAACAAAGCACAAATGGTCCACTCTTAGGACAGCATAAAGTTGAAGCTAAAAGTGATGGGAGGAAGGCTGGAGACCATGTCATGAAAGGCCTTGAATGCTATCCAAAGGATGCTCCTGGGTTCTGGAAGAGAGGAAAGTATTCGGGAGGTAACATTAGCAGAACTTGGGGACTGGTTGGATGAAGATGGGTGGGTAGCACTTTCCTCTTTTATCTGTCACTTAAATCTCAGAGTGAAGGAAGGGTTTGGGATATGATAGATAGCTCCACAGTCACACGGGCCTGGGTTCAAACCCTGACTCTATCACTTACAAACTGCATCTCTGAGTCTCAGTGTCCTTCCCCACAATGTGATGCTAACAACACTCTATTCCCCATGCGGCCACTGAAAGGGAACAATGGGATAATCCATTCAAAGTGGTACAGGCCAAGGGGCACTGAAAAAATAAATGCCCACTTCACAGTCTTTCCTGGGACTCATCAGTCTTAAATTAACTAACACTGTAAACCCACCACACACAAGTAAGCTGCATCACAAAAATGCATGAAAAGACACTTGGAAGGATGAAGTTAAGCTCCCACCCTCTCCCACCAAAGCCTCTCTGGTCCATGGAGCAGGCATATGCAACACAATGACCACCGTTGGCTCAGAACTTTCTCCATTTCCACCAACACTCTTCCATCCTGGGGTACCTGAAACACCTCCCCACCATGGGAGGGATGCAGAAGGAAACTCCACACACTGGCTTCACAGCATCCAAGCCATGGCAGTGAGTGGCAGGCACAGGGATCTGAGGACTTGGTGAAGGAGGGTGGAATAGGATTAGGGTAGAGATTAAGAGAGAACCTCCTACACTTGTATCTCCTGAGGCCGCTTCATTTACTCAAATCAATATACATATACACACATGCATGTGCACATATATTTAGAGCACTTCATCTGTGGCAGGCATGATTGTTGACATCTGTAACACTCAGCGAACAAAACAAAGATCACTGCCCTCCAGAGGTTTACATCTCAGCCGGACAACTAATAATAATCATACTAAAAGCTGTTTACAGTACATGAGAAAAATACAGTATATTACAAGGTGGTAAGTGCTTAAGAAAAAAGAAAAAGTCAAATAGGATAACAGAGATAAGGAATGCTAGGCAGTATGGTTGAGAAGGCTGGTGGTTCAAATCCACCAGCCACTCCGCAGAAGGAAGATGGGGCAATCCACTTCCGTAGTGATACTGCCTCGGAAACCCAAGGAGGGGTCGTTATGAGTCTAAGAGTAAATGGTCTAAGAAAGGAGCGTGCATGACTTCTGGGACAGCAAGAGGCCAGGAGACCCAGAGAGGGGAGCAGAAGTAGGAGAGAAAGACAGAAGGGTAGGGATTGAGGAATGGGCAGATCATGTAGAGTCCATGGGGCATTATAAGGACTTTGGCCTTTGCTCTGTGAGAAATGGGGAGCCACTGCATGGATTTGTAACATGATCTGACATCTTCACAGGGTAACAGAGCCACTTGGCTTCTATGTTAAGTGTACCGCAGGAGTATGAGGGTAGAAGCTAGGAGGTGTGGCAAGAATGGTGGTGGCTCAGGCCAAAGCATTATTAGAGAAGGTGGTGAGCAAGAGTCAAACACCAGATATGTTTTGCAGGAAGAGCCAGCAGCATTTCCTGGCAGCTTTAATGTGCAGTGTGAGAGAAAGAAAGGAGACAAGGTTGACTCCAAAATTCTTGGTCTCAGCAACAGTGAAGAATGAGGAAGGCCATAAGTTAAGGAAAGATTAGGAGTTACTTCTTCCTCTAATACAATTACTAGGTCAAGGCCAAACTTTTTCTTTCTGTCTACAGACCCAGGTACAGGCTGGCCTCTTCCTTCCCCACTGCTATCACCTCTGAACAGGGTCTGTCTCTTCCCTGCATCACAGGAGAGCAGATCAGTCTTTCCCCCACTCCTCGCCCTGAAGGACTTACATTGCTAGGGACTGGGAGGTGAAAAAGGAGCTCTGGTGGCACAGTGCCTAAGGCAGTTGACTGCTAACCAGAAGGCTGGCAGTTCAAACTCACCAGCCACTCCACGGAAGGAAAACTACATCAGTAAAGATTTACAGCCTCAGAAACCCAGTGGGAGTCACTGTGAGTGGAATCTACTTCATTCTAGTAAGTTTTGGAGGGTGCCAAACCTGCCTCTCTTCTTCCCCTTAAAGTCTGAAGGGAAATCAAAGCCTGTCCACAATCAATGCTATGAAGTTCAAGAGCATCTGACATCTTAGCAGAAAATCACCCTACCTCCAGGTTGTCCACGGTTGGTATCCCAGCTACCGAATGGGGCGGGGGAGAGAAGGTACAAGTGCAGGACAGTGCCCTGACCAGTCTGGTTTCTGCAACCCCACCAAGAAAGTAGGCTGGAGCCATGGAAAACAACTAAGAAGCATCTTTCCCACCCCTGAACTGCCTGGGTCTGGTAAGGAAGTAGTACCAAAGAAGGAAGTGAGAGAGAGGAGATGACCTAGACAGAGAGAGGCCTGAAGCACAAAATCTCCAAGAGTGATACCTGTCTAACCAGCTGAGACAACTGTTCCCACTTAACTGTTGGAGATTGTTTAGAAGCATGGACATTTCTGGAGCTCCCTCTGGGGACCAAGTATTATTAATCCCATTTTGCAGAGGAGGAGACTGAGCCTCAGCTTAAGTATCTCATTTGGATTTAGTCTCTCTCAGGGTCACCCAACTTGAACCAAGACCCAAACCCAAAGCTTCCTAACTCCAAAGCTTACATGTTTTCCACTAATGCCGTGCTATGGGCCACATGATTAGAAATGAGTGTGTGGTAGGGCCCAGACTAGGGTGAGGTAAGTGAAGCACTAAAGGCACATATTTAAAGAGGCACTCACTCTCAGGTGCCAATCCTGCAATTTCAGGAATCTGAGAACGAGCCCTTCTCAAACTTTGCACCCAAGGCACTTTGCTGGCTTCCCCCAGGTACTGGCCCTGGTATGTGGATGCTGCATCCACTTTGTGCATGGTGACATAAACTGAGAGGGCCTACAGCTAGGCTACTAAGTGCTGGGGATGTCTTCAGTGAGTCAGGCATACATGGAGGCCTTATCCACAGCTAGTTCCCTGTATGTGTGTGTGTTGGGAGGCCTTCAGAATGCACCTGTCTCAGGATGTACTGTCAGAGGAATTAAACTTGAACAGTAATGAATTACACTTGGCAGGAGTGACAATGACTAGCTGATCTGAGCCTGCTGGTCTGATACCTCACGGCAGCCTCCTCACACCAGGAGTCCTGAACAGGTGGTAAGGCCCCACCAGCCTGTGCTAGCTAATTAGGTTAGCTTTGTTACATTGCCATAACTCTCAAGCAGAGTAGCCCCTGGGGTCAGACAGGCTGCCTTTGACCTTCAGGCTTCCTGCATGTTACCCCTGCCTCCAGAATTCTAGCTGCTCAGAGGGCTCCATCTCAGAGGAAGCAACCCTCCATTCTTGTCTCCTGGGGCCTAAACAAGAGCAACCAAGCTAATCTTGCTGCCAGAGGAGGCAATCTCTTTGCCTAGAAATAGCAGTGTTCATGGACTTTCAACACAAAGGAGTCCATCCTAATGAGCAGCTTCAGCAATACATTCACCTCTGTGATTAATGTCTGCATAGCCCACGGCAAGGACAGTAAAGTGTGATTCACTATTTCTGGTGGTATTCTTCATTTAAAAAGGAAAATATGATCATTGATCCCTAGTTGGAAACTTTTCTCAGTGAAGCAGATTGAAAAGAAAAATCTGCCAGTTCAGAGCTGCCCCACAATTCCTATTCCAGAAATTCTGTAAAGTCTAACACCAAGGACTAAATTCTAAATCAGTGGGAAGAACTGGCTGTAACACCATTCTCAAAATATCACAGATTAACAGAGCTAAAAAGGGACCTTAGAGTTATTTATTTTAATCCTTGGTTTTGCAGATGGGCAAAATGACTCCCCTGAAATCACAGCTAATGATGGCTGAGCTGGGTAGGAGTGCAGGGGTTCTCATTCACAGTAGGGGATTTTACCCTACTATTTTCAGACACTGACTCCCTAATTCTCCATTTTCCATCTATTCCTTACATCTCCTCCTTGGAAGAGAACATTATGCAATGGAAAGAGTCTAGGTTTTAAAGTGAGACAGCTCAAGGTTCAAATCCTACCACTGCCACTTAAAACCTGTGTGATCTTCATCCAATTATTCAACTTTGTTTCCTATCTATAAAATGGGAATAAAAGTACTTTGCAGTAACAGTCATACCAGTGAGGTTTTGGTTGAGCAAATACTTGGCAACTCTTGCTGAGCAACGGCTTGGCTAGGCCTTTTGTAGTAAGAAATTCCCATGTCGAGCTCAGTTCCAAGCTGTGAAAGGCAAGGAGTCCAGGAAACCTCTGGAGGCTTTGAATGTTGTTATAAGGGTCATATCAACTTTTCCCCATATTCTTTTGCCTCAAAAAAACAATCTAGTCTCATAATACTCATTCAGAGCCATAATGGCTCCTGGGATCACCTAATCCCAGCCCTCATTATACAGACAGGGAAACTGAGGCCGGGGGGGAGTGGCCCCCAATCTCATCCAGCAATCATGCAGACAGAATAATTGTAGAGCTAGAGAGCCTGAATATCATCAATATAATTGCTTTAACTTTAGAAATAAGGAAACTGAGGACTCCTAAATAGTTTGCTTTTCATTTATCAGTTAAAAAATTAAAATAAAAAACTAAGAGCCAACTAGAAGCTCAGCCAGGTTTCATGGCCCAAATGGAGATGTCCCTATACAGCAAACACCATGCAAAGTCTCCAAGGACTAGAAGCCAGCTCTCCTCACTTCCAATCTGGTCCTCCCTAGCTGGCTTGATTCTCCCCTCACTATGTAATGTAAGTGAACCATCTGCCTCAGGTAATTCTGACAAATCTGTCGGAGTCCACTATTCAAGTCCCCATGGTAGCAGATGACAGGGTGAGAGAGCACCAGAAAGAGCTGTTAGCAGGAGGCATCCATTTACCTGCCCACACGTGCAGGGAGAAGACAGATTGGTCTGTGTGGCTAATGGGTGCCAGGTCTGAGTGCCTGGTAAAAGGTACTTAGGAGAAGGGAGGTAGCAGAGAGACCAGTCTCCTCGTACGCCCTGATCCTTCCAATGATGTTCATTTGTGATCCTTCTGAAGATGTTCATCCATAACATAATTGCTGCAAGCTCTGGCCGAAACAACTGGACCAAAACCTCAATTCCACAACTTCTAGCCTAGGATCCCTCAATTACATCCTCACTCCTTGGACCTTAAAGACATTTTAGTTTTCATCCTGAAAAATGCAAATGCCCCTTACTCACTGTCGTCAAGTCAGATCCAACTCATAGCAACCCCTCCTTGGGTTTCTGAGGCAGTATCTCTATGGAAGTAGATTGTCCAACCTTCCTTCCGAGGAGTGGCTGGTGGGTTGGAACCTCCAGCCTTCTGGTTAGCAGTCAAGTGCCTTGGGCACTATGCCACTGTTGTTGTTGTTGTTATTTGCCATTGAGTTGGCCCCGACTCATAGCGACCCCTCCTTGGGTTTCCGAGGCAGTATCACTACAGAAGTAGGATTGCCCAACCTTCCTTCCGAGGAGTGGCTGGGGGTTTGAACCACCAGCCTTCTGGTTAGCAGTCAAGTGCCTTAGGCACTATGCTGCCAGAGCTCCTAAATGCCCTGTGGAGTATTTAAGAATGATTGTTGGTACTGAAGTGATCAGTTATCCCTGCAGTGACAACTGGCTGGGGACATGTGAGGTGGAAGGTTCTTTAGTCAGCAGGGGCACAAGAAGGACAGGAAAGAGAAAGAACACGGTGGTTGGGAGTGAGGAGAAGGAATCCACTTCACAATTTTGATGTGTTTTCACTTTTTGGCAGAAGCGTTCAATGAGCTGGCAGCCAGACCAGAGGCAAAATGCCAGCAGCACTAATTCTAGAGTTTAGGGACTTACTGGATCCTATCAAGGTCCCATCTGCTAAAAGATGTGGCAGTTCCTGATGGGAAAGGAAGGGAACTAACACAGTGCTTCCGCCATACACCAGGATCTCTATGTACATTCATTCACTGAATCCTCAGAACAGCCACACAAGAATGGTGCTATTATCCCCACTCAACAGACAGGAGGAACATGTTGCCCAAGGCCACAAGCTACTCAGGAACAGAATTAGAACTAGCACCCACATCTCCTTACATGCTCCCCAGTGCTCTTTTGGCTGCTAAACAACTGGGCGGCCCAGGGCTTCCTCTTAGACAAATAAAGTTCTTACTTTTCCTGAACTCTTGATTCCTTTAGCCAGGGACGCATACACAATGACCCAAGCCAGGAAGAGGCAGAAGGCTAGTGGCCACCTGATCTCGCCAGGATATTCGATCCCTGCAGAAATCTTCAGCACAAAGTACCTAAGAGTCGCAAAGAGAAGGGAGGAAAGGTAAAGAGGGCTGACTGTCCACAGGCTTTAGTCTCCAAGCAGAGGCAGGAGCTTTGAACAAAATTCCAGCCCTCCGACCTCTATTAGCTGTTGTGATGGATTTACTGATCTGGGCTCTTGCCCACAGCTATCTATGGAGAGTTTGACTGGACTTACCCTGCTCTTAATTAGGTGCTTCAAGGCCACTTGTGGCCCTGGGCAGGTTTCTTCCTAGTCAGTGTCACTGATATCTGGTGCTGCCTTAGAAATACAACAAATCCGATAGCATTGGGGGATTCTCACACAGCCTCCCAACAGGCATGGGCAAGGTTGGTTTTTTTTTTTAATCTAATATCACTAACAGTAACTCTATACTGTCAAGGGTGGTTTTTCTGCTTTCGCTATAAAAGCATACCTCATTTTATGTGCTTCTCTTCATTGCACTTCTCAGATGTTGTGCTTTCTACAAATTGAGGGTTTGTGGCACCATTCTTCCACCCGCATGTGCTCACTTTGTGTCTCCGTGTCACATTTTGGTAATTCTCACAAGATTTCAAAGTATTTCATAATGCTGCTGCATACTTAATAGACTATAATATAGTGTAAATATAACTTTTATATGTATAGTTATGCACTGGGAAAACAAAAAATTCATGTAACCAGTTTTATTGGGTATTCACTTTACTGCAGTGGTCTGGAACCAAACTCACAACATCTCCAAGATATGCCTGTGTTGTTCTATTCTTTTATGAGAGTGTATTCAGATAGTATTTGTATAATTTTAAATTTTAAAACATCACTACATGATGGAAACTGCTTACTCTCAATAACTAACCATCCTGCTCTGTATTTTTGCTCAAGTTCTGTTGGGCTTGGTCTGAGGCTGAGGTTGGCTAAAATGTAAAAGCTGGGCTGGCTGGACCTTATTCGAGAAACATTCACAGATGACCAGCCATAAACAGATGGTGTGGAAGGCATCTGGAGCAGCTGCTGGCAACCTGTGTAGATGTCAGAGAAGTCCTGACCTTCCTGGAAACCCCACATCCCTGGAGCAAGTAGGTGAGTGGGGCAATGAGGCCTGAGAACAGATTCAGGCAATCTGTTCAACTGTGCAATAATCTAGCCATGTATCGTGTACGGAACTGCTGAGCTTGTAAGTTCCAGTTTTTCTATGATTCCAATGACCTCGTGAACCTGAACAAAGGGCAAGCCAGAATCCAGACTTTGCAGGACAGTAAAAGGACAGGCCAGAAAGTTCTGACCTGCTGCCAGACAGGAAGGCAGTAGCATCACTCTGGTCTAGATGGGCGCACTCTTCTCTAGCCAGCTAGCCACAGAGGCTGTTTTGTAGGGATGCCCAAGGCCTGCAGCAGGAGACACAGTCTCAAACCCTGAAGCAATTAGGCTAAAGAGTGGAGTAGGACTAACCAAGATGAACTCAAACTGGGCTCCAAGGCAATACTTTGGGGACCATATTCCTCAAGCAATGAAAAGGATCTTCCCACCCCCATCTACTCCCAATTAAGTAAATCACTTCATCGACAAATCCATAGCACCTTGCCCTTCTGAAAGACTCTGTACTTGAATAAGGAACCTAGAATGAGACCCAGGAAACTCCTTGAGGCTATTTCCTATTGGAAACTAAGACTGGTCCCAGAGGGTTAGTAAAGACCAGGAAAAGCAGCTTTATAAATCATTTCACCTTATAAATCCTTTCACTTCATCTAACAACCAGGATTGTGGGGGCATATTTCATCTGACCATCATGTCAGACTCAGTTTCTCAGTACTTGGTGTAAATTCAAGACCTAACCCCTCCCAACTCTATGGCAGATATCTTTTTTAAAAAAAGAAATAATGTATTTGACTTTTTCTTGTTGTTGAAAATATACATAGCAGAACATACACCAATTCAACAGTTTCTACAGGCATAATTCATTGACACTGATTACATTCCCAGGTTGTACAGGGGAAGTATGGCAGTCATCTTCAAAAGGATTATTTTATCATTCAGCCTAACTCTCCCTCCTGTTCAACCATGGAATAGGAATTAATGGCAATTGAGGGGAAAAAAATCTTCCTCCTGATTGCTCAGGTTGGTGGAGAGGGTCAGAGAGAGGCAACCCATCTCCCTGGTCTGCAAACTGGATGGTCATTAATTCACCAGGTTTCTCCTAAGAAGTAAAAACAAAAACAAAAGCCTCTTACTTGAAGTACTCTTCACTCCCACTGACAAACGTCTTATTAGCCTGGCTGGTGAAGTTAACCAATGTCAAGTTGGGGTAGGCAGTCATGCAGAAAGTTGAGTTCTTGATCTGTATTTTGGGGTGGTCGCTTATGACACAGGAATCTGTTGAGGAGAGGAGGGGATGGAAATACAGTAAAATCAATACAGAAAATATGCACATGTCTCTCTAGCAATTTAGAAGACAAGAGCCACAAAGATGGTTCTACCCCCTTAAAGCATGTCAGCTCAGAGACAAGGCTGGAAATGCTGCCCGTACTGCCATGGATTTCCACCTCTTCTTTCCAAAGCCTTGCGTGGTTTCCCACGGCCTGGCGTCTCTTCAATCTGGTTTTATTTAGACATTCCTTGTTTGGCTTGAATTCAATGGAACCAGCCTACCAGCTGCTGTCGAGTCACCTCTGACTCACAGTGACTCCATGTGTGTCACAGGAGATTGGGTTCCACAGGGTTTCCAGTGCCTGATTGTCTGGAAGCAGATTGCCAGGACTTTCTTCTGATGTACCTCTGGGTGGACTCAAATCAAGGTTTTGATTAGCAGCTGGCCACGTTAACCATATGCATCACCCAAGGACTCAGGATGCCATCCACACACCAAACAGTAATGACCTGCAGTTAGCTCTTCATTATCTATGTAAATGCATTGGTAAGCTTAAATAATGTGTTTGGGGAAAAGAAGAAAAAAAGCCAAGATATTGGAGAGTAATTCTGGGAAAGAATTGACTAAGCAAAGCTATATAGAGCTGAACCACAGAATTATGTTTTATTCATCACAACACCACAGCAGGGTTCTCACTTCTCAAACGCTCCCTCTGTGGCTGTGAGCACTGTGCTAAGTACTTCACACGCATCATCTCATTTAATCCTCACAACAGCCCTGTGCTGCAGGTGCTATTACTTCTATTTTTAAAATGAAGAAACAGGCTGAGAGAGGTTAAGTAATTCTGCCAAAGTCACACAGCTAATGTGGAACAGAATCAGGACTCAAATATATATCCTTAAGATGCCAGAGTTGTGCTCCTAATCACTACAGACAACAAATGACTGAGAGAGATTAAGTGAGTCAGAGATAAGCAAAGCTTTTGAAGGGCTACTGCCATAGAAGGCTGACTGATAAGTTCACCCTGAACCCACTGCCTGGCACCAGGGTCTATATATAGTGAGTGCTCTAAGATACCTTGTCTTTCTGCTTTCTATGCTCATATGGGTTAGTGGAGGCAGAGGCCATGCTGTGTGCTCATGAGCCTGACATGGCATCTAACACAGCAGTTAGATACTCACCCCAACTAGGGGTGACTATTCCCCCCAGGGGACATTTGGCAATGTCTGGAAGCATATACTGTTGTCACAACTGGGAGAGGGGGTGCTTCTGGCATCTAGTTGAATAGAGGCCAGGAATGCTGCTAAACATCCTACAATGCACAAAATAGGCCCCCACAACAAAGAAGTTTCCAATCCAAAATGTCAACTATGCCAAGTGTGAGAAGGGCTGAGCTAGGCTGGGGTGGAGAGGGGGAATTAACCATTAGTCTTAGTATGTCAGGCACTATAATGGACAATTACTATCTCATGAACCCTTATAAACTTATTGTTAAATAGGAAGAAGCTATAGTCTTTCTGATCATTTTATAATGCCTCTCTGACAGCTTTACAAGGAGTCCTGATAGTGCAGTGGTTAAGAACTTGGCTGCTAACCGAAAGGCCAGCTGTTTGAACTCACTCATCTGTAGAAGATGTGGCAGCTGGCTCCCATAAAGATTACAACCTTGGAAACACTATGGGGCAATCCTCTGTACTATAAGGTCACTACGAGTCAAAATCCATTCAACGGCAATGGGTGGGTAGACAGCTTTACAAATACTATCACTTGGCAGGTATTTTAAATAAAGAGACCTCCAGGGCCAGTACCAAAAGATTCTACAGTGAAACCTGTGAGAGCTGGAACGTAACAAGACTGCCTTGTTTTTCCAGGTCTCACAAGTCTTCTGCAATCTTACCACTTTTCTATTGCTCTCTATTAGAGGAAAATAGTATATTTAAGTTTTCCTTCTCTGACAGGTTTCCACCTTACACAGGTTCTGGCTTTCACAGGTTTTACTCTATTTTTATAAAGCAATGAACAGTAATAATAGAAATAACAACTAACATATATAGGGTGCTTATCATGTCACATGGGAGCTCTGGTAGCGTAGTACCTAAGGCACTTGACTGCTAACCAGAAGGCTGGCAGTTCAAACCCACCAGTGACTCCTCGGAAGGAAGGTTGGGCAATCTACTTCCGTAGTGATACTGCCTCAGAAACCCAAGGAGGGGTGACTATGAGTCGGGTCCGACTCGATGGCACATAACAATAACAACAACATCGTATCACATGCACTGTTTTAAGTGCATCATGTGCATTAACTAATTTAAGCCTCACAGCAACACTAAGAAGTAGATACTCTTACTATCTCTGTGTTACAGATAAAGAAACTGAGGTACAGAGTACAGTTGCTTGCCCAGGGCACACATCAGAGCCAGGATATAAACAGGCAGTCTCTCTTTGGAGTCCATGCTCTTAATGACTCCATTCTGAAGCAGAAGAGAAAGAATCATAAACTCAAGCCTCTACAGAGTCCAGGTCAGTGACACAAATGAGGGAAGTATAAAGTAGAGGTAATAAGGAGCAGTGGGGACTGTGGCAAACTACAAAGTACTCCAGCCAGTCAGTGTTGTGTTTTTTCAGATATTCTGAGAAAAGATGCAGAAAATCTGGATATTTACATGAATTTTTTTTTTTTAAATGTTGGAAACAAACTAAAAACTTTTGTAAATACCATTGTTGTTGTTGTTGTTGTTATTTGTCGTCGAGTCAGCCCCGACTCATAGCGACCCCTCCTTGGGTTTCCAAGGCAGTATCACTACGGAAGTAGGATGCCCAACCTTCCTTCCGAGGAGTGGCTGGTGGGTTTGAACCGCCAGCCTTCTGGTTAGCAGTCAAGTGCCTTAGGCACTATGCTACCAGAGCTCCCGTAAATACCATAGGCCAAACAAAAAACACCTACAGTCTAAATCCAGCACAGGGACTCTCCACATATGATGCCCTCTGTGGAATAGCAAAATGGGTGAGACTATGGGTTCAGGAGCTGAACTAGCCCTGAGAGCCTGGATGACTTGCTTTGTCTGCCTTAAGCTTCCATTTTCTGCTAATAGTTGTATCTAGTTCACAGATTTGAGAGAATGAAATTAATCAAATGAAGTCATGAATGAAAAAATGTCTCACAATGCCTGAGACACAGTTGCTAACACATTTTAGCCCTAACTCAATCATCACTGTTATACTTTCTACAGGATGGGCATCTCTAGTCCTCGACATCATTTTCCACAAGCCTGCTTGCTAGCCATACTTTATCTACTCCCAAAATATCCCAAAATACTGAATAAAGATTAAAACAACAGTAAAAATCCCTTCCCTCTGGTGAGTCCTTTAGACCATGACTTTCCAACAGCAGTGCAACTGTAATAGACCAGATCATTCTTGTGGGGGCTATCCCTTGCACTGCAGGATATTAAAAGCAGCATCCATCATCTAAATGGATGCCAGAAGTATCCATCCCCCAGTTGTGACAACCAGAAATGTCTCCAGACATTGTCAAATATCCCCTGCAAAATGCCCTTGGGTTGAAAATGCTATGGAGGGAAAGATCCAAGATGGTGGACTAGACAGCTATACTATCCAGATCCTTTACAGCAAAGACTCAAAGACGCTACATAGCACAGTTCTGCTCTGACACACAGGGAGTGGCCATGATTCAGAAGGGACTATACGGTAACTGGCTTGGTGTTTCGGTCTGAGAATCAGTGCTTTAGAGTCCTTGATGTACCTTCCTATTCACTAATCAAATAACAGGGAGTCTCAGGGTGATTCTAATAACTTTCAAATGTTTACTGAGGAAGCATTGGTTTCCCCAGCAGTGGCCTGAATGGAAACAATTAAAGCACCATTCATATCCTACTCCTGTAAATAAGCACAGGAATTATTCCTCACCCTCCTGCCAAAAACCACGACCATCTCCTAAGACTAAAGAGATCCCTAACGCACAGGCAAATGTCAAATCACTTGTTTCCAAAATTGCTACTGTGAACTACGCGGGTGTCCTTCCTAGGGAGCCTCTCTGGCTGTCTGGATCACCAGTCGCTGCAGCAGCACAAGGTCACCGTTCCTGCAGCACTGCCGCAAGGGCTCACACTTAACACGTTCGCTCCTTGCAGCTTCAAGCCTCCTGCAATATCCCCGCCCACCACTGGGTGGCAGAAGCATGCTTCCCAGAGCAGAGCACCATCCACTCTCAACGGAAGGAAAGACAGGGCCTTCTCATCAGAAAGCGCCAGGAGGCCTAGAAATGCTGAACAAAGAACAGTGATAATGATCATGCTGAATTGGAAGCTGTTGGAATGGGATTCTCTTTACTTGGGCAATTATTAATAAATGAGAGCATGTGAAAGACCAGAGAGAAATGGAAACATTTAATTAAAGTTCTAATGAAAATTAAGCCAGGCCAGAAATGGAAATAGTATTTATGTTGTTTCCATTGTAAGTGGCCCAGCTACTTCTATTGTCACAAAACAGTTACTGGTCTCACTTGGCAGGGTACAAATTAGTCGTTCTCCATAACGGATACCTGAAGGCCCAGGTCACCCTAAGGAAGACAATCTATCATCTCACAACCTGCACCTTAGAAATCTACCCCGGCAGAGCCAGGGCGTCCTTCTGGGAGCTGCAACAGGAAGGAGGCGCTGGCACATCAATGTTTATGTAGAGCTTCGTTTTTGTCACTAGAAGTGCTGAGGGGGCATTGGACAAATCCACTCACCGTGACTAAAGATCACAATGGGTGGCGATTTATCCCTTCTCCTGGTAACAGTCCCTTTGCCTGGCTGTGTTGGATGTGGGTGGTCAGGAGGCTGTGAAGCAGAGGGTGAACACGGAAGGCCATGTGCACAGCACTGTGCTGGGGAAGGAGTTTTTCCTTTTCCTAACTAAGTCTTTTTCAAAATGTCCATCTGGGAGAGAGGCTGGGGACACCCACTGCCTGGACTCCAACTTGTGCAGCAGAGCAGTGGGG